GAATTGGATGAAAAAAGGAGGACCCATTTGGCCTTAGGTAGTGGTTTTATTCATTTCTTGTAATGAGTAGAAAAGGGAAAGGTTGGATTTTTAGAATGAATGAGAATTGAGTTACAGACCATAACCTGCAAAGTAGATTTTCTTTCTTTTCTTTGGCTTTTTTATAACAATATAAAACTATCACTATCGGAAAGACGATTATTTGAGACTAATATTCTTCAGTTATTTAGCAAATGAATTAGCATATAACCCAGTTTAATTTGGCTAATCCTCATGCACTGATCTTTTTGACTTCTATCTCTACACACTGCAGTTAGTTGAGAAGGATCCAGATGCTGCCATTGTTTTGTTTTGGAAGGCGATAAATGCAGGAGATAAAGTAGATAGTGCTCTTAAAGATATGGCAATAGTTATGAAACAGCAAGACAGAGCTGAAGAGGCAATTGAAGCTATAAAGGCTTTTAGGGACCGCTGCTCCAAGCAAGCTCAGGAGTCCCTTGACAATGTTCTCATTGACTTGTACAAGGTAATGAGATTTGAACTCAGACGCTGCCTTTTTTGTATGATCTGAGAATCACCCCACTGTCTTTTTTAGTTAGTATTTTATACATGGTACTTTTTTTTTTTTTGGATGAGGGAGCTTGTATATTCATGTATTGTTACTTTAAGTTGATGAGAGTAATGTTCCATGGATGTAGAACTAATGCTCTAATTTAGATAAGCTAATTAGTTTCATTGTAACTGTTTTTGTCGTTTTCTAGGAGTCATTTGTTGCATACCTCATCATAAAGACTTTTCAAATGTTTGTAAACTTGGCTGTACATGCTGTAGAAGTGTGTTTGGCCCGAAGTCACATTTAAACATACAACTGTTCTAATGGATTTTTAAGTCTTTTGCGTCAAAAAATGTCTCTTATGTTTTGGATTTGTGAATGTCTTCTTATATTATCTCAATGCATTGATAATAACCATAATGAGTTAAACAGAAATGTGGGAAAATTGAAGAGCAGATACAACTACTGAAGCAGAAGCTTAGGATGATTTACCAAGGTGAGGCCTTCAACGGGAAAGCGACCAAGACAGCTCGCTCTCATGGAAGGAAGTTCCAAGTCACCATCAAGCAAGAGACCTCTAGGATACTGGTACTAAATTACTCTTATCTGTTATTTGAGAACTGCTTTATATGTTTCCTGTTTACTTTATGGCCTGTCAATTGTTATGGTGAACACTCAAAATGAAGTCTGTTTGATGAACTAATTATAACTCTGCTAACTGCTATCTGATTGTGTGGCCTCATTTAAATTCGTGTTTTAATATGCTATACTTACGATATACTAGTGATCTGTTTTTCTTGTATTTTCAATAGCATTTAAGAGAACTTCATGTTCATTTTCTAGCTTGTCAAATTTTTTCTTGTTTCTCAAAACGTAAGACGACAAACATTACTGACTTTATAAGTATCTAAAACAGGGAAACTTTACTGACATTATAAGTATCTGACACAGGGAAACTTGGGGTGGGCCTATATGCAGCTGGAAAATTATTTAGCTGCAGAAGTGGTTTATCGTAAAGCTCAGATCATAGACCCTGATGCTAACAAGGCTTGCAACTTGGCCTTATGTCTAATCAAGCAAGCACGTTATGCTGAGGCACAGTCAGTCCTTGAGGATGTTCTACAGGGCAAACTTCCAGGATCCAGTGATTCCAAGTCAAGAAATCGTGTTCAAGAATTACTACAGGATCTGGAGCAACAAAAATCCCTGTCACCATCTACAACAACAACAGCTTCAAGTTTAGAGGATGCATTTCTAGAGGGACTTGATCAATTGATGAGCCAACGGAGCCCATATAGATCAAAAAGACTTCCAATCTTTGAACAGATCTCTTCATTCAGAGATCAGTTAGCCTGTTGATTTTCCATCCGTTCATCCTCCATCTCGATTCTCAATTTTGACAGAAGTGCTTGAATGTTATGAGTGAAAATTGGAGTTACCAAGGTTGATTCAGGGATGCCAATGCAAGGAACAGCACTTGAAATCTACTATGTATTTCTGATCTTACAATTACATCCTTTGTAATGCGACTCCGTGCTACAATGTTCTGCTAGAGGGTTGCTGAAGGAGCACACAAATAAATTCTACAGTACAAAGATGGATGTGTTCATGTGTTATACAACATATATACAATAATATCAAAGGATTATGTATAAGACATATACAATAATATCAAAATTAACAGGCCTTTACCTTCTGTAAAATTCATCTTTCTCTGTCTCAAAGGATTGAAGTGCTTACCCCTAGGAGTAAATTATTGGGGTAAGAAAATCACAAGTTTTATCTTGTAGGTGATTTTCACAAATTAGTCCGAGTTTAAAAGGCTAAGGTGATGCTGACCATTGGTTTTGTTAAGTATATCAATTTTATTTATAATTTCATCTGTTTATAATTTTTTTAAATAATTAATTATGATATTTGAAAAATATTTATTTATAAATTTATTTTAATATTTTAAATATTAAATATTAATTATTTTATTAGTTTTTTTTTTTTTTTAAAAAATATTGAATTAGTGAGTTAATATTTGTTCAGAGTCAAAGTCGAATCAATGATCAAGTAAACTTCACCTATTACTTATAGAGTAACGTGGTCCATCCACTTAGTCACATAGGAAAGTTTAATTATTTTATTAGTTATTAATTATTTTTAACAGTTAAATGAAAAAATAACAATTTTGGTAACCCTCACAAAATTCAAGTTTAAAAACAGCCTTATCCATTTATATGTAATCAACATATGAAGCGGATGAAGATATTTCCATACCATTTATGTGAACATGGTACTATTAATCTATTATTGGTGGTTATCTTTGTTCTTAATAACCTAACAACAGATCCCAAAATGAAAAATGTTCACCTGAATGATTACATTGAAGAAATGAATATTAAAACATTGGAGGAAATTAATAAGAAGTTTAGTCATCCACAATTTATGGATTCAACCTCATTATCCAAAATCTGGGAGTATGGTTCCATGCAATTTGCACACTTACAAACCTATAAATTAGTCACTGTGCTATCTTGCAACTTCAATTCTCTTAAATTCAAAATTCATTCTCCTTACCTAACATGCAAAAACAATTCGCCTTGGATTTTTTTTGGAGCCATTGTAAATATTTATATCCACCCAGCCAATTGATATGTTATGCATGACATGGTGGTTCGTACCTTACTATTAAAACAAATAATGCGAATTTGACAACTTGAGAACATTAAATCATGAAGAAGTTAAACTTGCTATAATATTTCCTTTGCACAATAATTGCATGGTATGGCATGAGAATGCTTGTTGCAATACTTGCAAGATGAATGCACAAAACTAAATAAGTTTTTTGGGTATTGGTATGTAAACTTCCCCTTATGAAGTGTAAAATAAAACATATTTATAGTTAAAGATTACTCATTAACATGAACTGTCTTTCAATTTAATAGTTAAAATGTCCTTAAACTAGTTTTAGTACATTTCAAAAGTAGTATCACTTTTTAAGTAATTTTAAAGACATGTATTTTAATATAAATGTAACAAAGAAATGATTCAGAAGTAAAGCTCAGATTATAGAGCCAGTTGATGCCAATTAAAGGAGCTTGCCAGGTGGCCCTTGTTTTATGGATAAAGAGAAAATATGAAGAACAAAATTGAAAGTAAACCATTAACCTGGCTCGTACATTTTTATTAGATTGCTAAAGATAACTACCTCCTGAAAATGAAACGTCTTCACTGTAATAACCTTGAGATTCCAATTAAACAACATTGGCAATTTGATAGCATATTTGCACAGTCTCACAATCACCAGGTTAGAATTTCCATTTCCCTCAAAAATTTTGTGAAATAAAACATGCAGTTTTATTGAAGTATGTTAGACATGTCCAATCCCCATACTATTTACGTGACCGTCAGACTATTAATGCAAATAGCTAATGGTTATGTTGAGTTCCACAAATGTTTAACATCTTGACAACATTGTGAGAAAAAAAAAAAAAAAAAAAACTAAAATATTGGAGGAAGCTAATCATAGTTTAAATTAATCTTTAGATTTAACTTTAGGTTACTCTTTTAATCATGGTTGTCCCTCGAATGATGGCGAAATAGAACATTGTTATTATTTTCTTAGTTAGCTGACAAGAAAGAATGACAAAACTATTAATTTACACTCCAGCAGGTTTTTTATTTTATTTTATTTTATTTTAACTCCGATGAATTATACAATAAGAAAAAATATTTTTTTTCTAAACCCCTCAAAACTTATTTCTTTTCGAATAATTGTTATTTTAAAATGATTGAATTTTTATTAAATTAAGATAAATTGAATCTATAACTAACTCTTAAAAAAAAAAAAATTCAAAAGATAGTCATATGGAAATAGTTTTTTTCTAATAATATTTTTTCCTTTGCCCCAAAATGAAAAAAAAAAAAAAGGATTTATAAGATATAGCTAAAAATTGTCAATATGAAGTCTTGACATCCAAGTTCTTCCATATTACATCTTGAACCAGAAGCTATCATGGCAACATTTATCTACATCAAGAAATTCAGATGTAATCTATACAAGAAATTCAGATGTAATCTATACAAAAAATTCAATGTGCAAAGGCTCCCCTTATCCTGAAAAGCTAGAACAGGGAGAAACATTTTCAGCTTAAAACAAGAAAATAAAAGACCAAACCAACCTATCAAGATGACTTAGTCTGCCAGGTTTCAAAGTGAAGTATGCTGATCCAAGTTAACATTTAAAGCCGGGACAGACTGATAACACGACGAAAAGAATCAAAATAACAAATATACCCAGGGCAACTAGTTTGAGCTTCATATTCTCAAACCACATCTTTCTCTTGATCTTAGTTCCCTGTTGCCTAAAGTCTTGTGCCTGCAAAGCAACATCTAATTAATTAGGCTGAACTGTGACATCAAAATGTCAAGAGTTAACAATACCACAAAGAACACAAAAGAATCATCAAGGATTTTTATAATTTCAGCAATTTCAAACTTTTACACTTGCTTTACTCATAACCAAAAAGAATGAGCATTTCAGTTAGCTAAAAGATACATTTTGAATAGAACTTACCTGTGAGCGAAGGTTCTCAGTCTTGTCCACAAGTAGCTCAATCTTCTCACCGCGATCAAGAACCTGCACCCGAGATAAAAATGTTCTTAATAATAATATGACATTACATGTATCTTACAATGTTTTGTTTTAGCCTTCAAATTTTGTTCAGCAACAGTTTCAAACACAAGATGGAAGTTCTTACCTTCTCAATATTTTCCATCATAACACCCTTGACTTCAGAAACCTGAGCCTTCACTTTGGAAAGTTGGCTGATCTCTTCAGCATGGTCAGCACAATACTTCATATGCTCCTTCAATTTGGATCTACAATATTGAAAGAGCTTAGAACATGATGAAAATGGCAATTCAAGAACACCTATTGAGAGAGGTATATATATAAATACCCAAACTCTTTGTTCAGGCTATTGGCTGCAGCAGTTGCAGCCTTCCCTCCACCATATCTCTTGTTGAAATCTTCCTTAACTCGTTCCAAAAATGCTATCGGAATTTGCCTGCCTGCAGATTCAACCGCAACTACACAGTAGGCTGCAGCATCAAAGTTAAATGACAGAATTCAATTCCATGAAAAGGGCATACTGAATTATCAATGAAAAAAATTGAAGCATTAATTTTAAAAAACTAGGTGTCTTTATGACAATCTGTAGTAATTTCTTCATCCTTTAATCTGCACAAGACACAGAATCAGGTAAAATTCTGATTTTCTTATCATTATTGACAGGAAAATTCTGAAAAACCCACCATTATCATAAGCAAGGAGTTTCAGATGAAACATTCAATCAGCATTGTTAATCAAGAGACAAAGATCAAGGCAGTGTCATGTCATCATCCAAAGCCAAATTCAAAACATGCCGAATCGAGAAAAAACATGGTAAAAAAGCAGGAAACGGAGAAGAAAACCAAAATCGAAACAAAACCATATACGCAGGGAGAAACTGCGAGGGAGAGAGAAGTAACTGAATCCATTTTCGACGTGGTAATTGAAGGTATGGCCATCGCAGTTGTAGGTAAACTTGTTGTTGGAAGAGGGAAGCTTCTGGAGGCATTGAGAAGCGACGGTGGTGAAATTGCCGGTGAACTCGGTGTAATCGGCCAGGATGACCGTGCCACGAGCGACGAAGCTGTAGATGAGCGTCTGTTGCCCCATTTTCGCTTGTAAGCAAAAATCCGTAGGAAGAAGAAGAAGAAGAAGAAGAAGAACCGGTGGAAATGCAACCAAAAGGAAAGAAATAGATGGAGGGACGAAAATGGAGAAAGAGAAATCCCGGGTTTGCGGAGATGCGTCATTGATTTCATTTTCAGCCGTAGGGAACTGGATCGGGTCGGGGTCCTCCTGGATACGGCACCCGCGGTTCTTTTGAACTCTCAAATTACAGGGTTCTATTTCTTCCGCTTATGTAGGAGATGGTGACAAATTCGAATTTAGGTATTGTTTGGATTGGAGGTGTCGGACGGAGAGGGAGGGGAAGGGATGGGGACGGATGGCAAAGGGAGGGGGAGCGAGGGGGAGATGTCTCCTTCCTCTGTTTGGCTTTCCAAAGAGGCAGAGGGGGAGGGAGATGGACTGATTCGGACTCCCTCCAACCACCTTCAAATCTGCAGATTTGCAATCCGTCCGATTTGGGGTGTTTGGGAGGGATTTGAATGACTGTTTAGATTATGTTAAATGTAATTACAAAATTAACCTTAATTTTTTTATTATATCCTTATCCATTACAAGTTTAAAGGATAAATTTATAAATTTAAAATTAATTTAAATCTTTTCCTTCCTTTCCTTCCTTTTACTTTAATTATCCAAACATAAAATAATACAATCCTTCCCTTCCCTTTCCCTTCCTCATTTTATTTATCCAAACAAAATTAACACAAATCATTTCCTTCTATTTTCTTCCCTTCCCTTTCTTTTCCTCCCCCTCCATTTCCTTTTATTTTCCTCCATTCCCCTCCCTTCCCTTCCCTTTACTATTTTCTATCCAAACAAGGGCTTAATTACATTCCAATCAAATT